AACTGCATCCATTTTAAAGTCACATATAAACTAGATTTATCATCAAAGCGAGATGAATCTCAAACATAATGAAGTAGTAAACGTTACATAAGTCTCTGAACATAACAAAGTGTCTTTAAGTACAAACTTGTGCTACTTCCATTCCGCTGTTGTATTCATAATTTTTATTATGCGCCATACAAATTGCCCAATTTTATTTAATTGTGTATGATCATATTGTATTTTGCAATACCAAGACTTAATATACACTTATTGTTATATAATTGTTATGATCTCTGCTTCCGAATGAGAACACGTTGAGAATTTTTTAAAGGGAATGATAATAATGTCGTTTTAAATAGATATTGTATTTAAGTTATTTTGTATGTCAGAAATAACATTATAAGTGTGACTTTTTTATGGTACATAAAATTTCATACCTTACTTTGTAGGATTTGGAACGAACCGTGAATTTGGTTAGACTGATTATAAAAAAATCTCTAATACTTCAGTTACTTCCTTAATCTGGCATCTAACTTTGGCGTTTATATATTTACACATGCAGGTTTATGCATGCCACATGCACGTAAGCATGCAAGCAATGGAAGTTAACATCTCAAAAGGGTACATTTTATTGCTGCCGTGTCCGGCTTTGTTAGTACTTCGCTCTACATTTAAAGGATTCTGATCTTAAATGATTAATGTTTTACATCAAAGTTAACAGTTCTTAAGAATATTTGGAATAGAATTAGAAATTGATTCGTTTAGCAGAAATATAATACAACTATGCTTATAAATGTAAAGTAGTGATTAAATAAATAATTTAACTGTCTCATGTTTTTTATGAGTGATTACTAAAGAACCCAATTTATATATCTAAACTAAAAAATACCAGAGTGCTCAGAAAAACTTAATGTCTAAAATATGTTCAAAATGTCTTAGATAGAAAAATATCTTAAAGTAAGCAGATATAAATCTTATTATACGTTTTAAAGTAAGTAAGTAAATAGCAATCACCAAATATGGTCATTAAAAAGGAATGCTTATCTTCTATCTTCTTCTTCTATATATATAAAAATGGATTGCTGTTCCTTAGTCTCGCTAAAACTCGAAAACGGCTGAACCGATTTGGCTAATTTTAGTCTTGAAATACTCCTGGAAGTCCATGAAAGGTTTAAAAGGTGAGAAAAATTGGAATAATTTCCGGGTAAACCCTAAAAACAGCCCTTTTCTATTTCCCATACAAACGATTTTTTGACATTAGACTTGACAACTAACTAATATGTCAATCATTCTGTTCGATTGAAACAGTAGAAATTGAATAAATACCAATACCGGGTTATTGAAGACGGAATAGAGTTTGCCCGGTCAGCTATATTACTAATGACGAAATTAACGCGGACGAAGTCGCGGGCAAAAACTTGTTCAAATATAATTTTCATACACTTCTTAGTTAATACACAGCGATGATTCCGTTGTAACGTCTAAATAAAAAAATATCGAACGAAACATTCATTGAAGGTCTCCGCTGTATCACGATTCAGTCCGCTGTAAATACTTCCTGATACTGATCAATATTATTAAATATATCATTTGTGTGTATGAATAACATTATTATGACGTCATTAATGCAGTCACCTCCTGTGATAGGGCGTTATGGAATGCCTCTACAATACTCTCACGGTGTCTATATGTAATGTAGGATGTTTGTTGTTTTACATTACTAATAAATTCTACGTGCGTCGTCTGTTTGTATGTGTGAGTGTGTGTGTGTGTGTGTGTGTATGTGTGTGTGTGTCTGTCAAGTTGTATAACCCAACACATTTTCACAATTATCTCGTAACGTGTTTGCTTTGCGTTAATTTATCAGTAGTATTGCCTATGGTCAGTTCTCTATACAATTTTATCGCATCGTTGGATGTGTGCTTCGTTAATTACATTAGAATATTGATTTTCTAATTGACTTTGACAGTAACGTTTAGAATTGTTCCTTTAACAAAATTAATAATTATGCTCATTGGATGCAGTCATGCAACGTTGCCGACTTAATAATCGAATTGCACGGTTGTTTGTGGGATATTTAAAATAATATTACTATGGTAAATTTATTTTAATAATATTAAATTGTTTGTATATTAATTTGGTAATAAATAGGACTTTATACAAACTGTAATACGAACATAAGTCTGTTAATTGAATATATACATATAATCACTGGGTTATGGAAAGTGTAAAGAGCGACTGTATTTTTGCAGCTTTCAAAACACTTCACTCATTGGTTGTGTGTGATTAAAGCGCTTTTCATATTAACCGGTTCGACGACATTGACATTTATATTATGACTACTAAATGGAAGGAAATCCTAAATGGAGTTAAAAGAAAGTTATCACGGACTTATCTAGTCGAATAAGAATTATATTTGTTGATATACAAACTAAATATATATATATAGGTAGACTAGTTTGTGCCCGCGACTTCGTCCGCATTAATTTCGTCGTTTGTAATATATGTATATCTGATCGGGCGAACTCTGTTCCATCTTAAATAACCAGGTATTAGTATTTATTAAATTTTTCCTGTTTCCATCGAACAGAATGACTGACATATTAGTTAGTTGTCAAATCTAATGTCAAAAAAACGTTTGTATGGGAAATAGAAAAGGGCTGTTTTTAGGGTTTTCCCGGAAATGAATAATTTTTTTCAGCTTTTAAACCTTCCCTGAACCTCCACAAACATTTCAAGATTAATATAAGATAAATCCATATAGCCGTTCTCGAGTTTTAGTGAGACTAACGAACAGCAATTCATTTATATATATAATTAAAGTGTTTACTTCATATGATTATTTAATTTTTAGTTATGCGGGTGTTCAGTATTAGAACAATTATCATGTTAGGTGAGGTCGCTTGAAATGTATGGTTGGTGGTTTGTGAAATTACCTAGTACGTTTTTACAGCTATGTTTATTAAAATCGATAGCGTACAATGCCATGGTGAATCACGCTACTATCTTGTATGGTTTCTTTGGTTACATATTAAAAATATGCATATGTACTCACGAAAATATGTATATTTTTCTATATGAAGTGACTTATAAATACTATTATTATTTTCGTCTATTATGTTTTTCTCAGTAAACAGCTGGCAAAGAATTGTCGTTAAACCGATTTTGTACTTGTAATTCTATTTAAATACCAGTATGTTTCTGTACAATTAAATTAATGACAAGTATAATTGTTTCAAACCAAAGTAATAATAAAGCATAATTGAAGTGACTGTTAGTTTTGTTGAAAAATGGCGTCATATATATATCCTCAAAGAAAAATTTATATTTCACAAGAAAATCTACGGCTTAAAGACCCTGTTAAAGATAAAATATTTGAATTAGGTACATACTCCTAGGATTACTAACAAATATTAATTATACACTATTTTTACTATACGAATATTACTGAAAACTTTAAAATTTACAAGAAGAATATAATTTGTATAGCAAGTTCTAAGTTTAAGTAACAAACGTGTTCCAACATGAATTCTGAAAATATTAAAAAATAAATAATATTTTTGTATTCCTTACAAAGTATGCAAATGCATATAAAATAATTTTAGCGAATATTTCTTCCGTTTTCTTCTTTTTCATGTTAACAAAATGTAATTCGTAAATACTGTTTCATGTTAATATCTTGTTGAATGTAACAAAGAAAATATTACAAATTCTGTTCTTAACAGAGTTAATCGACATTCTTCCGCTACAGAATGTATTGAATAGTTGACTTTCTTAAATAAACCTTAGTATTAACAAATGCCGTACATCATCAGAAGCACGCATCACTGGCCATCGAATACCAAGAGAGAAAATGTGAATAAATAATACTTATACAATATATTCCGTAGGAGAGACGAGTCTTTAACGATTTGTCGTTAAAATAATGACAATGTAGTGGTTTTTTGTCATTCACATTACGAAGAGTCGTTTCGTTAAGCTATTTCAATATTATTTCATAAATAAGCAGTAAATAAATTGACATCATTAACTAATGTATAATGCTGTTTTTATTTATAGCTTCCGTTTCTAACTATAAGGAATTATGTTTTTGTGTTATTTTGATAACTTTATTTATATGTTATTTTATCCAAAACATCCGTCATTATCTGTAATTCGATGGTTTAAATATTTAGGTTATACCAACTCCCATAGTATAGTCTTAAAATGACACTTTTTTCTTACAATAGTAAAAATGCGGTCTATTGTGTTCTGTTTATTTTCCTTTGCGTAATCTCTATTGTGAATTTAACGGAGGTGAATAAACCTTAAGGTACGATAAAGTCCTGTTCTATGTGCTGGTCGCAGTACATAAGGGCACGTCTAGTCTCCGCTACGTGACGTCTCCTGGCCTTGGTGGTCGCTATACAATCGCCCTGCCTCGGTTTTACTTACCTGTTCCCCATCCCTTTCGCACCCTATGTCTACCTTTCAAACTATCTCGAATTTCCACACGCGAAGTTCGAGGAAACTGACTCAGCTGTGTTATTGTAGTAAAATAGTGTGATCGAAACTGTGCTGTATTTGTTAGTTATTCACAGTTCATTTCCGCATGCGTAGCTATCATGTTACGAGTTTCGACTCGCATACGTCATAGTATAGTTCTTTCTCTTTTTCTCCGTCTCGCACAGCTGCCTCCGGTCAGTAAGTTAAAGGCTGTCGTACCGTGAGGACGTTTTGTGAAATTAACATTTTGCTACGGCTGTCAGACGCGATTAATCCAATGTTAAAAAAATAAACCCTACATTCGAAACGTTTCAAGATTAATTTAACAGTACTAGTTGGAAGTGATTATTCGTATGTGAATTATAGGGAAGTAATACTTCACTTTCCCCGTACGATAGTGAACCGGTTGCATACATTTTATCCATTGTTTGTTTCCAAAACATTTTAAGCATATAAAATGTCATTCGAGATATCAGTGTAACGCGATGTATCGGTATGTAGAATAGGGTACGGTTACATTTGCTTGTGAGTGCATGTGTTACGGCTCAGTGGTTACATGGCCCTGTGTCCAGTGTTCAATTGCTAGCGGTCGTCTGAACCCATTGACTGATGGGAGGATACCTCGAGGTTTGGCTTCACGTACGTCATGCGGGCCCAAGGGACTACAAGTGAAATTGGATTTATACAAAACGGCTACCACGGAAACAACAAAGATTCTTGCACCACAGGTTCGTCTAACAATCAATCCTTCATTAGTACTCCTTTTGCTTCTTGTACTTGAGGGTAGCTCAATATTTTAGAAGGTATTCACGGTATTAAATGCTATAATTATAACCGCCTCGAAGTTTCTAGTTTATTATGCTAATGTGTACGTTAAATGCATACTCGTTAAGATTTACATTACAAAAAATATACTTGTCAAAAAAAAGTTGCTAGCTAACCTCGGCGTTAATTCTGTTTATAATAATATTGTACTAAATAAATACAACTGCAATTGAAATGGGATCAATTACGTTTTAAATGAAGATGATATAAGTAACAAATGTTGAAGATGTGATAACGAATCTTTAGCCTAATATGTCAAGGTGTAGGTGATACGTGTTTTACTTATGTTGAATGCAAAAGTTTCGCGAACAAATAACTTGTCTGACCACTCGAAGGTTAAGCACCAACATACATATTGTGTAATTCAACAAATCCATTGTATTATGTTGAAATAATGAAATTTCATCATGATGTATGTAATTTTCAACAAATATTTGTAGCTTTAGAAATGTCCTGATACGATCTGTTTGTATGTAATAGTGTTTTGTGTAGCTGCAGCTGGGTAAGGTCCCCTTTACTAACAGTAATATGAAGTTTAATTGACCATTCACTAACATCGAGGGGCCAAAGAACTTATTATTATACCATAATGCATTTATGTATAGAAACGGGAAAAGATGGATTGCGTTCTGTTCTCAAAAAATCCCCAAGAAATACGTCAATGTTCGTTAATTTTAAAGCGTTTCATCATTTACATTACAATAACGCTTTTATCTATAACAATGTATGAAGATTTTAAACAGTTGGTACTTATATATTTTTCACATATTTTTTATTTTATTTAATTATTTTTACTATCTCTTCCTAATTCCAATACAAATGTTCTTTAAACCCGGAAAGTTATATCGACACGATCTCAACCTGTCGCTAAAAATGCAACTCATTTTACAGCTTCCCGGAGATAGAACATTAAATGAAGATATGAATAAATTGTTTTTTAGAACATTTTAACGTAAGTAGTCATAAGGTAATACAGTTAAACTTAATATACAACACGTACAATACTAATAGTCTTCAAACGTACTAACTTCCAACTTTCCGTTTATAACGTGCGACAAACCCACGTGAAGTCGGCACGTGTGAGTTATATGGAGTTTAATTTAACTCGATGTCTAAACCTAACCACGTTCATAGTACATAATTACCAGCCGTTAACATCGTTAACGAAACATTTGAGTACATTTAAGTAATCATTCAAAATAATGATTTTATGTCGCAACTTTGTATTTCATTATTTTTGCTGAATTTTTCTTCTTTATTTTTTTGTAAAAAAATGTGCTTTTTAAATCGTAATTGAGTCGATTTATTTAATGGGTACGTGAATTTATTTTAATTATTAAACATTATATGCATGACTATACTTTACTCGTGACTTTGCCCGCGTTGCCTTTGGAGAGTTTACAAGGTTAAATGTTTGCTTAAACAAACCTGCCTACTGGCAGCGATAAAACACTACTGCTAAACTACACGTGCCTACGGAATAATTAAAAAAATATTCATTATTTTGATGATTAGCAATATAATTGTAAAATTACGTCAAAATCTATTGAGTACTTTTTACATAAACGTGCGGCGAATATCCGTCCTCATTAAGTTTCGCATTTTAATATTATAGGATCAAAAATTTAGGATTAATAGAGTTTTAAGGGTTATTTCTCGTGGAATTTTATCCGTTAAATAATTAATATTCTATGACATATAAAAGGTTTTTTTTTATTATTTTATCCCATTTCATTAGAAAAAAATATCATTGTTCATAAAACTTCCAGGATAAAAATCTATAATTTTAAAGCATATTTTTTCCTTCTTCAATATAATTATATCACAAGATCATCAGCATATTTTCCTCTATAGTTCCAACAATAATTAATTATAATCGCTTATAAAAGTAATAGTAATATTTTTTATTACTTGTTAATTCAACCCGTGCTTCGAATCTCGTCTATTGTGAGAGGCCGTCCTTGCGACGTTTGACATTGAAGCGGATATTTTGTAAAACATTTTGCTTTTTAACCATAACCACTGTGAAATAAAAGACGAGTACATGGCCTAGGTTTTGTTACGATTTATATTATATTTCGTCAGCGTACTTGAAACAGTAGGGTAACAATATATTTTTTGTTATAAAGGCCAATAAATGTAGTAAAATTGTAGATTGAAGAATTATTTTACATACTGGCTTCACTTACATTTACTACAGGTGATAAAATTTTATGACAGTTACTTACAAAATTATTATTAATTTAAAATATTGTCAGATGACGTTAAAATAGAGTGGAATCTAAAATCTAGTTAACCCGATTGTTCGTTTATATTGAACATAGATAAAGTTGGTAATAATTTTCCAGTAATAAATCAACAGTTTAACGTGGATAGCGTCCAGTTAACAGCGGTCCCTTATTTGTATTAAATACGAGCGCGTAACTCGGTAAGTGTTGTTCCACAGCTTTCTATCTCTTTATCTCGGTTCTAGATATCGCCGCGGGTGATTTCGTCTCGGTTTATATTTAAACTATAGCTAATACGTCTTATATACGATTGTTTTGAGTCATGTCTTTTGTCGCTTGATTAAATCACATTGCCTATTAGTTTTATACTTACTTTAATTTCCTGAATCTCTTCAGTTTTCCACTTTTCTATAAAGCTATCTTGCACTATCCAATGAATGTAAAATTTTCATTGTATTTTATATATTTGAATATCATTTTAATTAAATATTTTATAGATGATTTATTTAGTCGTACTTGTACAAATAAACAGCATTCACCTTTTCATTCATGTACCTACCAATGTTGATATTATCATGTGCAAATATTTATGAATGAAGAATTGTTTGGATTGGCGATGTCAGTTCGTTGTAGAGGTAGAGATGATAGATAGTAAGAAAAAATTACTTAATTTTAATCGTCAATTATACAATCAGTATCGAAAAATGGTTTGGTTCATATAATAATAAAATTTGAGATCTTAAACTTTACTAATAAGGATATGTTTTTGTTTTATAATATTTGTCAAAACGTTTTATTTGAAAGTAATTTACTACTACTATAAAGTCATAATTTAAGTATTCTACTTATTTCGTTTATCTTATAAGGTAGACATTTCCTTTCATAAGTCAGCGTAAAACCTTGTGGGATTTGATTTACTCGGAAAATGTGAGAAATGCAGACTTTATTACCGTGGAACGGAATCAGGATTTTTATGTGTAGGTTCATTGATTTATTATTTAAGATGTAGTAATTTTACATATAAAACAGAAAAATAAAAGTAATTTTTAATACAGAAATGAATTTAAAAAATGTCTAAGTATATTTCTTGAGTACAGGGAAATATACATATATTTTATTACAAAAAATTCTAAAATTTACCCGTGGTTATATTATAAAAGAAAGCATTCCCAAAATAATATGCTATTTGAACTTACTAACATGTAATTAATACCAGTCAATAAACCACGTCGTCTTGACAGCAGGACAAAAAAAAAAGAAAGTGCTAAATGCTTCACATTGACGTACCGTTCCGAATACTAGACTAAAACAATGGCTCGCCTCGTGATAAATGGTACCTACTTTGGACGCTCGATACCAGAATACCTTTGGCATTGTCAGAATTCATCTTATTATTGGTCAGTCAGGAAACAAATTTGAAATTCAAATTATCATTCACCAGAATTACCATCAGTGATGAGTCATTTTTGATTTACGTTTCTTCTTTGAGCCGCTATCATCAATACATTATCTCTTATCTGTTAATGTCAAAAATATGATTCATGAATCTGCTGGTATAAACAAAATTGAGCTGTTTTTATGTATTACGTGGCAAAATAGCAAAATTATATCAAAATTGAATCAAAATATACCTTTAAAGATCATCAGTTAAGTTGAAGGTTACGAATTTGAGTTAGAAATGTATTAAGTGGCACATTGCAAATAACAGACGACCTTGCTTTAAGTGATTTTATATTAATTCAAGACAAATTATTTCCTTTGTGAAGGGAGAGTCGGCTAGCGAGAATGGATCACGTTCGGTTGCGCGGTAGAAATGTCACTCATGCGCAACGCCATAGCCGATGGTTGAATGCTAGGTTGATAAAAAATTAACCTAATTAATCTATCTTTCATAATTGCCTCTTACTTTCGTAAATAAAATATTCCTTGTGAAGTATCTGTCTTAATTAATTTGATAAATTAATATGTATTGTAAAGATTAAATAGACAGACTTTCGCATTAAACACAAATATTTTTATCGTATATTAATCTTTGTTCATTGATACTTGTATTGAATAATTTTTGTGATTCCATATGTACTAAACTTAAGACGTAAACTTAGCATGTAAATAGTACTAACATTTCTGTTACCAATGCGGATATCTCTAAATACATATACGGTAAGCTGATCGTCTGTCTATTTGAAAAATTCATTCCTATGGGAATATAGATATGTTGATTGACATCTTTTTATTAGATACCACAATGCTGTTTATATTTACATGAGAAAACGTACGATTCAACGGACCGTTTGACATTGTGACTCTGATGAAGGTCGTGTACAATGCGAGCCGGTTTACAATAAGAAAAATTATTGCGATTTACCTGAAACTTGATGACAGAGATTACAACCTTAATATAATGACAATAGATGTTAGTTTGAAAAAATATCTAAATGAATAACAGAAATATTTCATAACAAATATTCCTTATTGTCAAATACATACGTCAAAGCAAACCTCTACAGATGTGTGTATAATATTTTCTTTAAGCCAACAATTTTATTGAAGTTCTGACGTAATTCCAGCAATGTATAGCACACATATATTACGAGTTATACTATGGCTTTATTAATTATAAATTTCATATATTTAAAACTATTCAATTACATAAGATGATCATATAGTTCGTTTGC